TAGGAGGCAAAGTGGTTATGTGACCCTTCAGGGTCTAGTACACGAGTACGAACTTCTTACCCTGAAGGTGCTGAGCCTTTTGTATAGAAACTGCTCCAAAGGGTGCTAGTTGTTTTGCTTTCTGGCTGGAGAGCTGACCAATCTGGAAAATGGAAAAATCACAAATTGCAAGTGAAGCACAGTATGGACACAAAAAGCTCAGTAAGACAAGGATTCAGATACGAAATACTGCTGTCAAAGGTGAGCTATTGTCAATCTAGGGCATATTTTCATTGATACCTCTAAAATTTTGGCTTGGATTACAATTTCCGAATCAATGTTAGAGAGCAGTGTTCTGTGAACTGCTGCTCTTTGTGTTATGCAAAGAGGTAAATGAGAGAGGCTCAGGACTATAATAACTTCTATACATGAAGCAGCAGTAACTGCTCAGTCAAATTTGCTCTCTTACTCTTCTTTTTGTAGCTATTAATCACATCTTTAGAATCCTTACTGTAAAAATGAGCCACACTAGCTTCGGTCCTGCATGATCATCCTGATAAGGTTGCTGTTCATTAACATTCAGGAAAGGATCTTTCTGATTTACCTTATCGCATAAGACATGGTATATAAACACTAGGATATGATGCATTTCAAGTGGAGTGACTTCATTTTACACAACATGAATTCATTCACTATTGCACGTATATTAGGTATGGTTCTGTAAGAAAAGATTGATACGTACATGGCTGATAACAGCATTTACTGTTGGAAAACTTCAAAGACCGTGAAGGATCTGCATGCCATGTTTACAGAAACTGTAATGTTGTAGTGACGCTGTGGACACCTGCTGCTTTTTCTTGAATGTTCTGGCATTGGTGAGTCCCAGCAGCATCTCATGTTATTGACCTAGACATACTGGGACTTCCTTTCATATATTTCGAGGAGTAGGTTTTTGGGGGAATGTTTATTCTGGGCACTAGGAATCCTTTCCTGAGACATTATTTTAGTGGTTTTTTTTTTTCAGGAATATTGGAATGTATTGGTCCATAATCAAAGATGAGCAAGACAGAGCCAGCTGTGCTCCAGCCAGCACTGAACAGACAGCTGTGAAGAGGCTCAGTGAAGTGGAGCTCAAGGGACCTGGATGCTGTAGTTCATTTTGCCTCTGCTGCAGTTCTGGGCAGAAATTGCACCTTGCAAGAGGCAACCTTAGATGAAATTAGCCAAGCTATGCCAGAGTAGACTTTGCTGCCATAAATCCTATGTAGGTGCAAAAGTAGACCCGTTCTGCTGTCATGCAATACCTCCTGCATTTCTGGGTTGGCCTTGCCTTCTTCAGCTTCATGTAAGTAAGACCAGAAAGGCTCAAAGCTCCAGAAAGAGATTTTGTTGCCTGTTCTTCTTAATGTTAATAGCTTGGCAGCCCTTGTTCAGATTCATCTCCCAGGCAACAAACTAAGCATTCCCTCTGTACTTTTGCTACTGGGGAAAAAAAAAATATATAGGAGCAGGAAAGAAGTCCCTAAGAGTCATGTGCAGACCATCCTCCCAGCTGTGGTGTAACAGACCTGTGTTAGGGCTCAGGGAACGCGTGTTGAACTAGCCTGTTCACAATGGGATGCAGGAGCAGAAGCCCTGCTAAACTCCCCCGGACTAGTCAGGGGGGATTGTGCGTGTATCATGGCGAGTGCCTACCTGCCATCACAGAATATGCAGCAGTGAAGAACAAGGCACAGCAGGAGGAGGCCCAGGACACTGGAAAGGCTGATGATGCAGTGAATAAATGCCCTGCTCTCTAAAAAGAAACAGTTGCTTTTTTAGATATGTAACTCGCAGATCATTCATCTCTGTCAGAATTACATCTTTGAGACAATATTGTCTCTACACTGTACTTTGGAGAATGATATGAGGTAGCTGGAATAAGTGGCAGATGGAGATCTCCAAATAAGCATTAACAGTAACAGCCCATCTCCTTCAGAGGAACCTTGTATTAAGCAGTCAGTCCACTGATGAGATGCCCCTTCTTACCATTTCCTTACTATAGTCCAGCTGCAGCCCTTATATGTACGTAGTAGCAAATTTCAGCTCTGAGCTCCCCTAGCAGAGTATTTTAGCAAAGTACATGGCAGTTGCACATCGTTTCCCAACCACTGTGAAGTATTAATGCCTTGAGCTAATGGAGGGGGTCAACTGGCGCTCAGTCTTCCTGTCGCTAACCATGCACGACCCAGCAATCAGCCAGAGTTAATGGTGCTATGAAAGTAAGCTAAATAGATGTGATTGAAAGATGTCAGTCATGTGCATCAATGTCATGAAACTCTGAATCAGATACTGTCTTTCTTCTTATCTGCCCCTCTCAGTGGAAGGGAAGACTACCATATCTAAGGCCTTATCTAGAATTTCAGAGCACTTTTCAATTCTGACAGTTCTTTTCTTCTTCCTAACAAGCTCCTCAGTAGAACTTCAGCTCATCTGCGTGGTTCCTGCTGCAACCCATCCCGTGCTACTAATGTTTGTTTTGGCACACAGAGGGTTACTGGGATTTTGAATGCAGGGGCACAGAGGGAAGCTTACTTGAGCCGCAGGCTACAGACTGGTTGTGGTTCATAGCTGGGTGGGACACAAGGCAGGTGGCATTTTTCACGTCGGAGCCATTTCCCATAAAGGTGCTGCGAACGGTCGCTGTGCCATCACCGAGGTCTTCGTGCTCGGGGCTGGAGCTGCTCCGCGGCACCCACGAGATGCGAGCGGGCGGCTTCCCCGCCGCTGCCTGGCACACGGGGTTCCCGCGGCTGTCGCAGTACACGGCCACCTTGGGGGGCACTGCAACATTGGGGAGACACGTGGAGTTAGCTTGCTGCAGCTGTGAGAGGATTCCTTATTCCCCACCCAAAATGAACAATGTTGGTTATATTAAAGCAGCAGCATCTGACTAACTGCCTTCACTGGGTAACCAGATGGGCCTGCAGAACCTTCTTCTGGACCCTGGAAGTTGGACAGTGCCTGTCCTTCCCAAGTGCACAGTGGAAGAGGCGTCATCAGAAGGGAGAAGAGTTTTGGTAGATAAAGAGAGGGTAGAAAGGGAGGGATTAGAAAGGAAACACATCCCAGTTTGTCCCCGCAGCAGTGCTCTTCCCACTGCTGCGCCAGGGGGAGAGAGGAGCTTTCTCTGGCCACGCTTGGATGTGACTCTTTGGAGAATTACAAAATGAGGCAGGAGCCCCTTACCTAGCACAGTCAGGTGGTAGGTCATGTGGAAATTCCCAGCCCCTGCAGCCATCTCACAGGTGTAATTTCCCTCACTGGCTCTTTGCACAGGCTGTATCTGAAGGGCAGGGTCGTGCTCTGGTCCTGATTTCCAGGTTATGTTCTCAGTGCAATTTGTTCTTTTTGACTGCTTCCAGTCAGCTCTGTATCCCAAGATGCAGTGGCCTCCAGCCTTGGGCTTTATTTTCCAGGTTACGAACGTTATCTCTGATTTGTTAGGGCAGGTCAGCACTAAGCTGCCTCCCACTGCTGCTGTTTCCTCTCTGATGTTCCCTGGAGGAGACAGGGAAGAGAAAGAGGTGTGAAAAGGTGCCTGGGAAAGTTCCTCGTAGCCTTGGAGTTGTGCCCTGTGCTTCACAGGGCAGGGTCTGCACTGCTGCACTCCCGAGTGAGGCCCTGTCTCGGCCAGCCCAAGAGCTCTGCCTCGCTTAGACAGGGCTGGATAACTAAATACGTGTCTCTGTCCTCCTTTTCAGTCCCTTCCTCTCTAAATCTCTCTCCCTAGTGCAGTGGATTTAAAACACGATTGGAAAAGCAGAGTCTGGCTGAGCTGCAGAGCCCATCTATATGGGAAGAGCTCTCGGGATGCTTTTCCCTCAGCATTGCTGTCAAATGCTGGATAAAAAAAAAAAAGAAAGATATTTGACGACATTCACTCTACTTTTGTGTCATAGGTGTCCGTAAGGTCATAAGTGGCCTTTCTAAGCAGTTCAAGGCCGGAGGACAAATTTTGCCCTGTCACTTCAAAGCATACATGAACTATTTCTTCCAATTATAATGGTATCAAATCAGATACTGAAGGAGCAAATATGATGTTTAACTGGATAAGGCCAACCGCCTGTTTCCTGTTAGATTCAAAGATCACCTACCTCCTGACAGATTGATCACTGCCCTGTGACTTTCTGCTTTGCTGAGTCCTAACAAATACCAAACATCAGAAAGAAATGTGAATTTATTTTGATATTGTAGGGTAGGAAGGAGAAAGGTTATATGGAATCTGAAAATGCACCTGCTTTTGGAGTTTGCTTTTGAAAGTATTTAGCTGAAATTGAAAAGAAGAAAGATTTCCCATTAAAATTTTGAATGATTAATTTCTGAATCTAATGTCATAAAATCCTAATAAACTTCCCTTGACAGACCAGCCACAGAGACCAGAGGAAAGCTTGAAAGGGTGATCGAAGAACCTCCCATCAAGCATGTTTCTCAGTGCAGACTGAGGTTTTCAGTGAGTGTCTTTCTTATGAAAAATGGTCTATTCCAAGAAAATTACTACAATTACTACCAGCTCTCATTAAGCCATTAAAAAAAAATTATTGCAGCTAGAAGTGTTTTGGTTTTCAGGCTACTGGTTTTCCATCAAATGTCCTTTCAGAAATGTATAAAGGTGCCTTCTTCCTTGTCTTCACCCCCCACCAAATAATAATAATTCACAGAAGAACTGAGATGTTTCCCTTCCTGATACATCCCCCAAAGCACCACCAGCATTACCCGTGGATCCGGTGATGGCAGCGACGACAAGAAGAAAACCAGGGTACGTGGTCCTGCCACCAGCTTTCAAAGCGGCTCTCACACTCATGGTGATGCAGGTTTCTTACACCAGCCAACTTGCTGCAAGTTCTCACCACCCTCTGCCAGTGCTGCTGGAGTCACTGCTCATCGCTCGCTTCTGGGCTCCTGCTGCAGCCACAGAGCTACAGCTGCCTGCTTGTGGTGCACTAGCCTCCCTGTGACGCGGAGAGCTGAACGTGGAAGAAATGATAGTCGCTTCCTGTTCACTGACCCTCTCTGATCTCACTGTGAGAATTTTATCATTGGGAACTGGGGAAAGGCTGTTCTGACTTTAAACAATACTCAGCATATTCTAAAAAAAAACACCCTTACAACCCATCCTTGTTGCCCTCATCCTACCCTTCTTCAAACATTTTAAAGCCTAGCACGTTCCCTCCAAAAGGCATTGGCAATCACTTTTTCCTTGCAGGGAGGGAGATAAGCGTATATATTAGCATTGCAGAAACTCTCTTGCTGAGATTTAAAATACATCTACACAGTTGGGGTATTGGATCTTCTTGTACCATTTTTTTTTCTTTCTTTCTCCAACTGTTTGGGGGTTATATTACCCCATACCTACACAACTGAACACTGAAGGTCAGTGGTTGCTGTGCAAATTTGTTCAGAGCCAGAAGACCTCCTTAGGTTTTATGAGGTCTGCTTCTCTGTGCTACCCTTTCTCTCTGCTATCCCTAAAGCCTTTTCCTCTAAGCTAGTGCTATTAGTAATGTGATTGGTAGTGTTGTCTCATACCAGAGAAGATATTTTCCCTAGATATAAGGTAAGTCCCTCTCAAAATTAATGCACTGAATTGCTGCCTATTTGCCTTTTCCCACCAACTACAGTCACAGCTGCTATCTGTATTTCCTTGACTGGGCTGAAATACGCCTGTTTGGAAGGACTTCCATTCCTTGGTCAAACAGATGCAAGACGTCCACTAACGGAGGGGAAGCATCGGCTATAGGCTACCACCCGCCCCAAATACTAAGCACAAGTTGACTAGGAAGAGGCTGGTGCTCTGAGGTAGCGCTCGGTAAGTTCAGATGGAAAATGAAGCCCCATGTGCTCGTAGACCGTATATCTAGAAACACCAACAGCAGTACTATAACAAAATCTTAGTCTCTTCTGACTGCTCTTGCTGTAGTTTGACTTCCGCAAAGTCGCTTTGTGGCGATTTCAGCCAGTTACCTGCTCTCTGGTGACTGCAGCTGGCGTTTCAACAGTGTGTGGTTTGGGTGTCAGGTGCAACAAGCATTTCTCATGGTTAGACATGAGTCCAAAATGCAAAGGTCACATGTAACTGTGATGCAGAGATGCCTGCAGCACACGGCGTACCATACCACAACTGCAGCATAGAACCTGTGGGCAGCAGAGCTCCTCTCCAAGTGACAGAGGCAGCAAGAAACTAGGCTCCAAGTTACCAAAATCAGAGGCTTTCAGCAGCAAGGCACCTAAGCACTTGGAAGGATCTGGACAACAAGTTCCTCTGACGGAGCAACAAAAACAGGAACTGAGAAAGGGAAAGGCAGAATTTCCCACAACACGTGGTGCAGCCTAGCTCAGTAATCCTTAGGGTAAGGCCTCTTCTTTTTTCTTTCATTTCTCCCCCTTTTTTCCTGCCCAAAGGTATTAGCTCGGTACTGGCTAGAGTAAGAACTTGAAGCTTCTACTCACTCTGTGATACTAAAAGTGATTGTTGCAAAATAATCACTTTCTTTTTATTACTTCAATTAGCCTTTCGGCTTCTGAGCCATTGGCTTGCAGCCACGTCGCGGCTCAGCAACGTACTGTGTGCCTGTGAAGAGATAAAAAGTACTTGCAGGGCTTGGCATGGGGCTTTATCTTGGCAGCCAAAATCCTTCATCGCCTCTAGAAACGCAGCCACGAGGCAGCCACAAGGCAGCAGGATGGTACTGAGGCAACGGCACCACCGGAGGCTCCCAGGCAGGCGCTCCAAGTAGCCAAGATCCACCTCCAGCACAGCCCTGGAGAGGGCTTAAATGCCTGTCCGTGTTTGACCGTTTCCTCCCCAACTCAGAGGAGAAGTGCTCTGAGATCCTGTTTTACTTGAAATAGAGGAGTCTCAGGGGTGGCTGCACGACATCCTGCTTCCCTCGTGTTATTCCTGCCTTGGCGCCTTCCTTATTTTCAAACCTTTCTGCAGCAACCTGCTAGCAACCGCCCGTTTTGCAGGTTATTAGTTTAGTGCTGCGACCTTTCTGCTTTCCCGCTGCACTGGATTTCGTCAGGACAGATGCTCTAGCTGGGCTTTCATTTCCATCTCGTGGTCAAAGCCAGTAACGACGCTCAAGGCAGCACTCTGAAAAGTACTTTTATATGTATGTGTTATTTTTGATTTATTAGCAAAAGTTTTGTTGTTGTTGTTGTTTTCATGTTCAAAGCAGAGCGCTCTCGGGCCTGTTCTTGTTGCTTGCCAACATAACGTTATTGTGGTTTGTTCAGGTCACTCTTTAGGTGGGGTGTTGCTTGCCGTCCCGAACCACGCTGTCTCCTTCCCCCTTCCAGAGAAGACCACGCTTGTAGTTCCCAGACCCCGCAGACGAGCTTGGGTTTGGACAGAGCAGGGCGATCCCAGCAGGAAGGAGCAAAAGGAGGGCCAGAGCTCAAAGGAAGGGCAGCCCAGCCCCACGCCAGCTCGCCTCGGCGCCTCTGTGCCCCACAGCGAGGCAGGACTCCAGCGCGCCGCCCCGAGCCGCGCCGCGACCTCCCGCCCGTCCGCACAACCAAATAAATAAACACATAAAAGTAACTGCGCCGCGGGCAGGGAGCCTCCCCTTCCGGCCGTGCGCGGGGCGGCGTCGCGGCG